CCAAATTTAATTTAAAATAATAGTGTGGTTTAATTTGTAAAGTTGTAAAATATGTGAGCAGTATTGAAAAGTTATAAAAGTTGGTGTAAAAAAGAATATTTTGGGAATATTCTTTTGGGTTTGAGAATGGGTTTTTCGGTTGGAGATGAATTACTGCAAAATGAGATAGTTACTGCAAAATGAGTTTGAGTTTGAGTTTTTCGGTTGGAGATGGCCTTATCCAAATTTTTTGCTCATTCTTGCACGCTACTTCACCACAAAACACGCATTGAAAAAAAATAAAGAGGAAGAAACCAAATTGCGATTGTCATTTCATTCACCCACCCCACTTTTCTCTTTTGCAAGCGAGAAAAAAAAAGTTGACAGTATCCCTCCTCCAACGCTATTCCTCCGCCGGCAACATTCGCGGCTGGTTCTTCTACCACATCCCGTCGCCACCGCCGATCCCCTCTCCGACAACCTGATCGTTGTCGCCTTCCATTGTACAATGAAGCAAAATCATGTAGCTTCTCCCCGTTGAGATGAACACCTAAGACCCCATGGACGTCGCAACCCCTTAACCCCTCTGGCTTCCACCCCGAATCTGCGGCCAAACTCCGGATCTGGCAGGATTTAACGAGCCACCGTAAGTGGTGTGTTTATGAATATAGTATTTAAAGAATAAATAATTCCCCATTCTCTTCTTCTTCAACAGAGGTGGTGTTTTAGGGTTCATCTGATTTTTGAAGAAGTGTTGCAGGAGATGATCAACCGTACTTTTCATCTTCTGGAAAGTTACGCCCACAAAGCGAAAAGCAGAGAAGAAAAAAAATGGATTTTTTTCGGGTTTACTTTTCCGTCTCTGTTTGCAATTTTCAGTTTTTAGCCTTTAACATCAAGAATTCTTCAGTTTTAAGTGCTTATTGGGGTTCTATTTTTTTTCTACAATTTTTTTCATGTACCCACGGCGGACAACAGGTGCACATATGGTTGCTTTATGTTTCAGCTATTCACATGCATTTCCTTTTTTTTCTTTTTCTTTTTTGTTTTCTTAAATCTTCGGTTTTGCCAAAAACCCTAATCTTATTTTGAATTTGAATATAAT